CAATGGATCTAGAAATTGACGAATTGTGAAGTGATCAACAAATTGGATGATGAAGTATGCTGTAGTGACCTACTTTTACCGAGAGAACACGATTCATTTAATGGAAACAATTGTTATTATGACCAATTGTACCAGTGATTGTCTTACTGTATTTGTTTGTTTAATTGTACTAAAGACATACCTTCTTCCGTTGCTTGTGACCTTGCACGCACTTACGTTTGCTCAGTGATTCCACTTGTAGTCCTTTGGCACGATCTCGGTATTCTTTCAATACCACGAGATTGCCAACAAATATATCTCGATACAACCTTCAATCGCCTTCTGATATCTGGTACGCAACCTTCTTGTAGTGGTGATCATAGTCGACCGCGACTCGACGCCGCACTACAATGCTACACACACACATAGTCAAGCATAGATTGAAATTATGAACATTGATAGTTAATTGAATAGATGTGACTTTAGTAACTTTCATAGAATTAAATCATCACTGGTCAATAACGTATGACTCTATTCAGTGTATATAAATCCAGGTTGTCATATTTTACATGGGCAGTGTTCAAAATAACAAGGTAGAATGAAGAAATAATACCATTGATAGTGAAAAACCAAACGTGGGGAATGTAGTTCGAAGGTTATGTGAATGAAAAATATAAAACAAACAATTTTAAATTTAAGATTTCTGTGAAAAAAATAAGGAATGGATGCATTTCTGACATTGCTTGCTTTCTCAACAGGTGAGATTCCATCGTAGATGGTCAATACTTCGAAGAATGTTGAGCAGGATAATTGGCATTTGATAGACAAACAGATAGTTAGTTACTGCAAACGTGATATACATTTGCAGAAGCTAAACAGATTTTTTGTACTTGAGATGACATGTTTAATCATCAATGTTTAGAAATCATCAAAACAACCTGGATGAATGATCTTCTCGATTACTCCACTTCGTATGAACAGACAAATTATTAGCACACGACAATTTTGAAGTGGCATTTCGCAATTTAAGAAAGTAAAAGATGTTTACAATATGCTTTTCCTGTCACTCAAGTTGCCCACAGAACATATAGCACAGTAGGAAGTTTGCTTATCAGTACACTGAAATCGCAACAAGCTAACATTTCAGTTTATGCATGTTAAGCAGTTACACTTAAACAAAGAATACGTGGAATCACAAAGTACTTTCATTTAATATTTTACAGATGTTCAATAATCAATCACTCAGACTCCATTAACATGGCTTACATTTCATAATCTAGATGCTTATGACTGTCGACATCTAAGAATTCATTAAATTCTACTATCGTAATCAATCAACACCGTGATATCTAAACACGTAACAACAACACCTAACTACTACAATCCCATAACACTAACAATCAACTGTATCCACAGTATGTCTACATGATGTTCGTGTGACAAACAATCACGTTGAATAAATGTATCATAAAAGAACAGGATAAATCGATGACTTTTACGCTTTTCTTTTGATTAGTAGAAAGAATCATCCTGCTGGAATCCCTTATTATACAACTAGCATTCTCAATCACAAAGAATAACTGGTTTTATTTAATTACAATAAATAGTTTTAGCATGGTTTTGACCAGAAAGCTAACTCATTTATCAAGACAATGTTTATGTGTTCGGCTTACAGCTACACTTTTTATAAGGATTGCAGTGATACGACGCAACTTTTCAATAAAGTAAAATAAGGTATGTACTTTGGACGTATGAATCCAGAGTCAACTGCTCAAAAACCACTAAACAAGATTTCAATGATTTTTAAGCAAAGATGAATAGTAGCTAGCAGTGGAATCCAGGATGCATGTTTTGTCGTATTTGGGACTTGTCAGCATGATGCACCTGCATCTCAGAGTTCATGTTAACACCGAACTCGAACCACGACCCCACAACTAGTCACTATCTATTTTTCCTTATAATACTTGTGAATTAAGGCTATATCGAGGCAATCTGCACAGGATCCACATATGCTGATGGATTCCAGTCCTAAAGACTTCAATGGGAAGATCCAAGCATAATATGCTTCATACTAATTTATTCACAAGTTAGGAGAGAAGTCATGAGTGAAAACATCATCTACTTTAACAACTCAGGTATTACCAATAAGAAAGTAAATTGAAACAATCATTTATTGTACAAACTGTATTCCATAAAGTAACCAGTTGACGTACGTTATCAAGTTATCACTTTTACTTTATGGTAACGACAAAAAAAAATTTTAAACAATTGGAACTCCATACAATTCAGTCACTTCTATGATTAGCGTGAGAATCCACTTACTCGATTCTGATTGATTCATCACTATATTGTAATATGCTAGGGTTGAAGCTATAACGAGTTCACTTAATCTGCGAACGAGAAACAAGACTCGGTGATCAAAGACCAGGAAGCTAGCTATTGATGCGTCCCAGCCCCGCTAACTAGAGGGAGAAGTCCAAGCTTGGAATGAGGAAGTATATTCTGCAAACAGCCAGAAACGAGGGATAACAACAAACACAATTCAAAACGTATAAATACAGTACAAAACCGTCCTTGAGGAGTGTTACCAAATAGCATACTAAAAGACGCAATGGACAAACAGCATATAAGTAACTTCCCACTGGGAAATACGACATGTAGGTGACAAGAGCGCTTTTGGCGCGGAACCAAAGAAATTCAAATTTTCTAAATAAAATTACAGAATTAGGTCCTTTCCCAAGTGAGTTCTGGGGATCTAACGTTCCCAACAGAATAACACTTAGTCATTAATATGTATTCATCTTTGTTATCCTAATCAGTGATTTAATTGTTTATTTGGACAAAGAACATCAGCCTTTAAAGGTACACAACTTCAGTAGTACAACAAATAAGAAATCTACATTAACATATTGAGCTTTGTGGGCATGTGCTGTGTTAATGAAGTATGACAACTTGGACCGATATATATATGTGCCTGGTCCTACGTTGTAGTTGACTGACTGAATATCGACAAATGGTTTATAATCAAATTCATGAGTCTTGACTATTTGACAACTTTTATAAGCAAAGATGGTTAGTGAATATCAACTCTGCGGTGTGGGCACATTCAACTAACTAGTCACAATTAGTACGGAACCGCGTCCTAGCTAGATTCCACTAATGGCCACCATCTATCTTTGCTTACAATGCTTGTGAATTAAGACAATATCGGGGTAATAAGCACAGTACACATATATGACAGTAAGATACTGATCAATTGCAGTCTTAAATATAGATGTAAAGATCCAAGTAAAATAATATTAAGTGAATTTAAACTTCACCCCATTGCACAAGCAAGTAGCTATCAGAAATCAGTAGTTAAGTGTATAACGCGATAGCGTTTGAACCGAACGGTACAGGGTCCGAGTTCCAAAGTGAACAACAACTCTGAGATGCAAGGACATGTAGCCGACGAGTCCCAAGATGAGACAAAACGTGCATCCTGGATTCCACTTTTAGCCACCATTCATCTTTCCTTATAATACTTGTGATTTAAGGCTATATCGAGGCAATCTGCACAGGATCCACATATGCCCGCAAATGCCCTGGTATGGAGAAGAGTGAAGTGAGCCCGCCCTCTCTTTCGAAATGCTCTCACATGGCCACGCGTATACAGCCTCCGCTAAGGAAGTCCTACTCACTGCCTTCTCCTACCAGGGGTGTTGTTTACGAAATTGAAAGGACGAAGAGCGAATGTTCGGCGATTCAACCGGATCCCAAATCAATGGTGCACATGGACTCCAGTATCCTGAAGGAACCAATTGTTGGTCACCGGCTGCCATGGGAATACATCTCCCCACAATGCTCCACTGCCATGTCGGTCAGACCTTTAGATCAAACGCCCCTTAAGAAAATCACCTGCTTCAGTCTGGGCACCCGGGCAGTATCACAGCTCACACACAAACAGAATGAAATGACAATCACTTATAAGAGATTGATCAATTCCAGTCATAAAGATATCAATGAATACATCCAAGTATAATAATGCTAAGTGAATTGAAACTTATCAAAACATACTGAATAATCTATTAAATGGCAAAGTTATATACATATATATATATAAGAAATAATAATAATAACAACAACAATAAAAGATAGAACTAGTATTTCTATGTAATATTTATTTGCATTTATCGATTGGTTCTTTTTCTTCTTTCTTTAGAGAGAAAAAAATCAAAAAAAAGAGAACTATATTGATTTGGAGTGAAAAAAATATATATATATCGAGTATGTGTTTTAAATGCAGTTCAGTTGTTTCTATGCACATTTACATATACATTACAATATACATACATACATACATACATACATATATATATATATAAGTTCTGACTATAAACGAAGCGGAGAAATTACACTAATCCAACAACAACAACAACAAAAAAGAAAACAATTTCTACACAATTCATTGATAAAGACAAAAGATTAGAAAAAAGAGACACCCACATACACATTGGGAAATAATAAAGATTTGTGATTGACTAATTATTTCTATGAATTTGATTGATTTACACTTGATGAAGAAAGAATTTTGAGCGACGAAACACTGATAAATAATATTATTTATATATATATTGGTACTAATAATATCACTGATAATTATCAATATTAATAATAATGTTATACACACAACAATATCAACAACAACAACAAAAGAGAGAAGAATGAATCAACAGTTCAAAAGATTGTAAATAGCTGCATTTATGTAATAACTGAAGGAAAATGGAGAAGGGAGGGGGAGAGAGGAGGGGAGGGAAAAATAAAAGGAAAGAAAAGAAAACAAGAGAATTACACAATGAAATAGCAAACAAATGCAAACAAAGAAACAAACAAATGTGAAAGCACCTATTCTTCCCCCCCCCTCTCTCCTTTTTTTTTATACAATACACAAGTCAATTGTACAGTTCCTCATGTTGTTCAAGGAGTAGAGATATGTGATAAATCACAACAACAACAACAATAATAACAAGAAGTTGTTTAGTTTAAAAATCTTTATCTTCTAAAAAACTATAATGAAACATAAATTCTTCTTTTTTACGTTGTCTCATTGTTCTATAATCATAATAAATATATGAACCAGATTCATATTCATCAGTAATTTGTTTAGGTTCTTCATGTCGTTGAAACCACATCATAAATTTTGTATGAAATCTCCATGACATACGTTTTAATGCTTTAGCAGCAAAATATTGTGCTTTAGTACCTTCAAAATAATAAAATATAAAAAATAATGTTTGTGCATCTAATTTCATATAATATTCTTCATTATCAGTACCAGTTAATGGTTCACGTGGATAATAATTTGGACAATTAATTGGATTTTTACATATAATCATACGAGATTTTTCTGTATCACATGAATGTGGTAAACGACGATAACCACTTTCTAATGCTTGAAGTTGTAAAAGAAGCTATATGTGTTTGTTTGGTTCGTTTGATTGTTTGTTGGGTTTGTTCGTTTCGTTTGAATGATGGTTGTTTGGTTTGTTTCAGTTTGATTGATTGTTTGTTTGATTGATTTGGTTTGATTGTTTGTAGTAAGAAAAAAAAACAAAATGGAAAGTATTAGACTATAAAGTTTTCAACATTTAAAAAAACACTAGAAAAAACAAACAAAAACATAAAAACGTGTTAATATAATCAACTTGGGATTTATTATCATTAAGTATATGAGTTGTTATGGTGATTGTCAAGTGCGTGGGTTACTTATATCCATATAAGTAGTATATAAAGGTGACCAGGCATAGAATGTGTTTCAGTTGAGAATCTTGGATTCATTCACTTTCGTACTATATTTCCATATCAAATTATACTGATTTTATCAAGAAAGACATCATCAACATGCATAGTCTGACATGGGTGTTTGTTCAAGTGGCCATACCACACTAGCACGATAATATGGAAATAGCACAAGATATTAATATAATGCAGTAGTGTGGTGTGGGTTACTTATAAGTAGTATATAACGATGGTCAGGCATAGAATGTATTACAGTAGAGAATCGGTAAGGAAAGAATAGGAACGGAACGCGATTGGTATGAAAATGCATAAGCAATGAAATCTGAGACAATGGATTAATATATACAAAAGGAACAGTTTAGATTGAGACGATGGATTGATATTCTGCAAATTAATTATTTACACTAGATGGTTCTCAGATGTTAATGAGATGCTCTGTAATTTCTTGTCAAATACATTCAATTATCCCCAGTCGTGTTCTTGTTCACTGCAATTATACTACAATTTAGCTCTTTTTTTCTAATGATATTCACTATTACATAAAGAAAAGTGACGGTGATAGGGATATAAACTAGGAGTTATTGAATGGAGGTATAGACAATCTAAAGTAATGTTTAACAATTTATAAATATCAAAAGGGGTTTTTCGGAGATTTTAGAAATCTCAATAGTTGAAATCATGAGTCAATTGAAGCCAGATCACCACTTCTGAGGAGTCCCATACTAGAACGAAACGGCCGTCCAGTGCTTCCTGGTTTTCCATAGTGGTCTAGCTTTAATTGACTCATGATTTCATCTATTGAAACTTATAAATAGACAATTTAAGTAACACTTTAAATAAATCAAAAACGTATACAAGACAATAAGGTTCAAGCGTTGAAATATATCATTACAATATTAGACATAGATGACATATTCTTACAAAACATTCCACAGAACAAAGAAAAATAGTAGAAAAGAACTTCATTAACTATTTAAGGGAGGGTATACAGAAATAGGAGGAATCAAGTTAACTAGTCACTGGGGATAAATTGGGATGGAAACGTAAGAATTCAAAAGTCAAAGATATGGTATACTAAACACTTTTACATTATTATAAACAAACAACTGATAAGCTTGTCATTCAAATTATCTTTATGTAGTTGTTGAGTGGTGAGATCGATTCATGTATAATGAAATCCAGAGCGGCTTATACCAGTCTGGGCCATCTTTGGCGCCTTCGTGATGTCAGTCTGGTTGTAAAAGGTCGGATCTACAACGCGTCGGTGAGAGCAGTTTTGCTCTATGCTTGTGAAACCTAGCCTCTCCGAGTTGAGGATGTTACACGACTCTCTGTGTTTGATCATCATTGTTTCCGAAGGATTTGGACTACCAGGTAATATCATTAATTCTTAGATTTGGAGAGTGGCTTGAAGCTAAATACACGCATTTGTCTAGGGCAAATGAAATAGATAATTAATGAAAATACGAAAGTAGTAATATCTTATGGTAGCATTGAATAAAAAGAACTTAAATTTTCGTAAGAAACTCGTGGAGCTTCAAGATATATTTCTATTTGAACACATAAATATTGGTACAAAGGGGCACCAAATTCATATGCGATACACAAGTCACTTGATTTGTGTGTAGGACAATCAGTAGTAATACCCTAGCAGTAGTTCTATGCACGTGGCGATATGAGAGCATTTCGAGAGAAAGAGCTGACTTTCCCTACCGTCGTCCATACCAGGGCATTTAGGGTCTTTAAGATATATGCCACGAAATCATATACGAATAATAGGTTTTAAAGCTTACAACTATCCAAATATTCTAGAGATATACCAATCAAAGCTTATGAATAATAAAATAACTTAAAACTTTGTTTATGATATTCATACACTAAATTGATTGATAGTGAATTGACCTGAGAATTCAACTCTTAACTAAAGAGATTATAACAATCTCTTTCTTTCCTTCTTTCGTTCTTTCTTTCTGCTTTTATCTATTTAATCGGTTAATATTCATTATGACCAATAAAATAGATAATTATTATAGATTTATTCAATTACCAAGATCATTCAATTTCACAAAAAAAGAACAAATTTTGATTACATTTTATCCACATATCAAATAGATGGCTCCCAAATGCCCTAGTGTGGCCGAGAGTGGAGAGGGACCGCTTTCCCTCTCGAAATGCTCTCATATGGCCACGCGTATATAGCCTGTGCCAAGGAAGTCCTACTCACTGCATTCTCGTGGCGAGAGTGTTGTTTACCAAACTGAGAGGACGAAAAGCGAATTTCCAGAGCTTTAACTGGGTTGGTGAGCACCGAGAGTCCACATAGGGGAGTTAGAAAATCCTCATTCCAAACTAGTGGTGCACATGAGCTCCGGTATCCTGAAGCAACCAATTGTTGGCCACCGGCTACCGTGAGACTGCATTTCCTCACGATGCTCCACTGCCTTGTAGGTCAGACCTTTAGATCAAAGGCTCGGGGTGTGGCCCCCTAAGAAAACCACCTGCTTCGGTCTGGGCATCCGGGCAGTATCACAGCCCACACACAAATAGAATGAAATGACGACATTTGCTGAAAATACTATTCTCGCTTCGATTAACAGTCAAACAATTCACACTATTATTATTATTATTATTATTATTATTATTATTATTATTATTATTATTATTATTATTATTTACTACGTCACTTATTCACCCTCTTTTATTCCCACTTTGTGTATCCTTATTTTTCGACTTATACAGCAGCTTGTCTATAGTGGAAACTCGGTTCTATCTAAATGTTCTCGAGTCACTGACTGGTTGAAAATTGAATGCTACCCTCAAATACGAATACTGAAAGTTTTTCTGAAACTACACGCACCAATGTGGTGCACATATATCTGGTGCCCCCTTGTACCAATATTTGTGTTCAAGTAAATAAATAAATATATTAAGTCATTTACAAAACACAAGTTTATATGCATTCCGACTTTGAACCATATTCTTTCTATGCAAGACTCAATGATACTACTAAACTGAGTCGAACAAGGTTCGAATCTGAGACCTATCGGTTGAGAACGAACATTTTAATCATTCTTTTATTATTTAAACACATAAATATTGGTACAAAGGGGCACCGAATACATATGCGCCACACAAGTCACTTGATTTGTGTGTGGGCTGTGATACTGCCAGGGTGCCCAAACAGAAGCAGGTGGTTTTCTTAGGTGGCCACACTCCGAGCCTTTAACCAAAGGTCTGATCTACAAGGCAGTGGTGGAACTTTAAGAAATGCAGACTCATAGTAGCCAGTGACTAATAATTGGTTTACACGCCATTTGTTCCTTCAGGATTCTAGAGCCCGAGTGCATCATTGGTTTGGAATCAGGGTTTTGTAGCTCAGCTGAGTGATCGTTCTTCTGAACGATATCAACAGCACAAACTTCAGGTAGAAGCTCCACGATCAAACCATCCAGATCAGAGAATAAAACTCCAACAAAATAAAGGTTTTCCAACTTCCTCTAGGTGGATCCTCCCATATCCACCAACCCGGTTAAAGTACCGGACATTCACTTTTCGTTCTCTCAAATTCGTAAATAACACCCCCTACTTCAAGAAGGCAGTGAGTAGCACTTTTTCGACAATGACTGTATACACGTAACCATGTGAGAGCATTTCAAGAGGGAGAGCTGACTCTCCTCACCCTCAGCCGTACCAGGGCACTTGGGGGGCCACGATTTAACCATTCAGCCACTGCTCCATAATTTTTACAATTAAAAACCATATGAGATAAAAAGATGTTAGAGATAATAATAATAATAAGTGAAACCCTAGTAACACAATCAGATCTTAATTGATAGGTGGTAATAAATAAAACATTAAATCTATAAGTAGTGTGACTGTAACTAAAAATAATAAATCTCTAATATCATATGAATAGATTCTAAAATAAGACATAATTGTATGTAATTTTCATTAAGCCTAAAAAGAAAAATGACAATTAGATTATATTGATCTATAACAACAACAACAACAACAACAAAAAAGACGGTTAGAAAAACATACGGAGAATAGATCAAATTTATTGATTTCCGTTAAACAAAGTAAAACCAGGGGTAGATTATAATCGGATTTCTTAATCAATATATTGTATTTCTATAATGTATATATCAAAATAGTTAATAGAAATAGCAAAAAGGAAAAATACATCTTTTTTTAGGCGTATTAAATATAATGGTTATGATATTTTTATTTATTCATGTGTATATGGATTCAGTCAGTCAGTCAGCTACAACGTAGGAACAAGCACATATATGCATCGGTCCAAGTTGTCATACTTCACTCATTAGTACACCAAGATGAACAGTGAATTCATAGTAGTTAATTCAGTGGTGGTAATATATAAAAGAAAGATTGCATATAAGAATACAGTACAGGAAGAAAGAATTACTACGTAGAAAGAAAGATATGAAGCGATTTTAATCTCTTAGTTTAAGAGAAGATAGACAGTGTATACACCTATACCACTGTGATCGATTTTGAGCCATGTCACTTACAGTTTACAACCATTGGTTACGATAGTCACGCGGACCCCAACAAAGTAGTCTGCATCTACCAACATGGCTAAGACCAGAAGTTAGTGACTTCAAGCACTGATGCCACGTTTTGGTATGGCCGCCCCTAACTTTCTTCCAACCATCCCGAACACCGGTTAGCATTGCACGTCGTGGTAATCGGTGTTCAGGCATACGTAACACGTGGCCCAACCATTTCAGTCGATGAAGATTAACAACCTCACCAACTGATTTACCATCATTTCCTAATACCCTGCGTCTAGCCTCACTATTATTTATCCGGTGAACCCAACAGACGCCAGCAATATTTCTAAGGCATCTGTGGTCAAATACTAGTAGCTTACGGATGTCTTCTACTCTTAAAGGCCATGTTTCGTTGCCGTAAAGTAAAACAGAACGGACTGCCGCGCAGTATAATCGTCCTTTTATTGATAGACGGATATCTCGCCTTCGCCATAGGTGGCGTAAGTTGGCAAAAGCCAAGCGAGCTTTTCGAATCCGTGCTGAGATTTCGTCAGACACCAACCCATTAGGGCTGATCAGACTTCCAAGATAAGTGAAGTTGTCAACGCGTTCGACTACTTCACTCCCTATCCTTAGTTCAGGTGTTGATGCAGACCAGTCCTGAAGCAACATCTTGCATTTAGAGGGAGAGAAGCGCATTCCAAACATTCTGGCATTGTTGCTTAGTGCTACCAAAAGGCTCTGCATTTTATCAGCGTCTTCACCAAACAGGACTATATCATCTGCGTATTCTAAGTCGATAAGTGGACCTCCTGGAAGAAGATCAATGCCCGAGAATTCAGTAGACGAGAATGTTAGTTTCATCAGTAGGTCTATGATGAAGTTAAACAAAATGGAGAAAGTGGACATCCTTGATGGACACTACTTGAGGTTGCCAAAGCAGATGACTCGACTAGTAGTGTTCGAGTAAAGAGCCTTCACAAGGTTTATGTACTTCTGAGGTACGCCTTTCAATGACAGACACCGCCACAGAATCTCGCGGTCTACCGAGTCAAATGCTGCTTTAAAGTCAAGAAAGACCACCATTGTCGGACTCCGATAAGTATGCCTGTGTTCTAGAACCTGACGAATGGTGAGTATGTGGTCGATGCAGCCACGACCAGGTCTGAAGCCAGCTTGATTCTCTCGTGTTTGCAGTTCACGAGTCTTAGTTAGGCGTCTGATAATTATCGAGGCTAGTATTTCAGATATTATATTAGTTAAACTAATCCCTCTATGGCTGTCACAGGATGATTTTGACCCTCTCTTATATATTGGGACGATAAGTGATTGTGACCAGTTAAATGACATAACGTCTAACTGCCAGATTTTAGCTAAAATATTAGTCAACCTAATCGCCAAAATTGGACCACCATCCTTAAAGACCTCTGGAGCCAATCCATTTGGACCAGCTGCCCTTCCTCGTTTCAGATTAACTATAGCCTTTTGGACTTCAGCTAGACTCGGGGGACCTACTTCAATGTTCCATTCACATTGCCTGGGAATGGAGGGTAGTTGTAGAGTAGCTGAAGGCCTTCGCCTTCGGACATTGGGTTTGTTGCTTTTAGTCTAACCACTCTTCAACCGACCTATCTGACATGGTAAAACCTTGAGGAACGGTTGTTCCAGCCAGTATAGCTCGGTTGCTTCATCACGATAGGCAAGCCCGACCACCACGTCAAGGTAGCAACAACGGTCAGGACCATTTGGCCAAATCTTGTGCAAATGTTGTGTCCTATTTTATTGGTACGATTTGGTCTGTCTGAATGGTATTGCACAGAGACATGTCTGTTCCCGGGTTTTGATTTTTCTTAAAAAAAGTATGCATAACTTTTAATTCTCCGACATTCTCCTCCTCCTCCTCGAAATAATGTTGGGTCCTTATGGCTCCAAATTATAACTAGTAGGACTTTATTTAAACCATGTTTCTCGTATTGACTGGAGAATCCACTAAAAATGACTAGATGATGATGAACAACCTTTGATCTGAATTCATTATTTTCAAATTCATTATGAATCTCGTCAGCAGATAACGAGTCATTAAGAAAGTCAACGTCTAACAGAATTAGATTAGATTTTTGGCCATCATTCGACTCAGCTGACATATTTCCCTCATTGTTATAAGAAGGTTCATCAAAATCATATGCATTATTCTGAGAATCAATATCTGGTACACTGTCATTAGAAATGGGATAAGTCGACTCAATATAAAATTCTGTGTTCCGGTGATTTTGAGTAACATCTGGTACAATTTGGTTCATCGTGTTGCTCCAGTTATTTTCTGAATACGAGTCACCATAGCTTTCTCGACTAATAGCACGTGGACCACAATTTTGTTCGAGCTGACGTTTATTTTCGCAGCTAGACAGTACCAGTAGTGTTTCATTTGATTCTGGTTTCATCTACAGGACCTGGCTCCTGATCATCTGGTATTGTCACAACTTCATGTGCATTCAGCACAGTATTTTCTTGCTGTGAGCCGGACACGTTACAAATATTACGTTCTGATTCAGGTATAAAGGGTATAAACCCAGTATGTTTGAAATAAATGATTCATATCTCAGAGGCTGAGATTGGTGTTCTGTACTTAACTGGCTGGGCTAGGCGGAAAGCAGGATCAATAAAAACTCTAGACTGTTCATACGGGTTTACGCGTCATTGATCCGATCGGTAAGTCACTGCTCTCTAATTGGCGGTATCGTTACGTTATACATTAGCAGGGCACACAAGCCACAAGTTATAACAAAAACACAAAATGAGAAACCTATTCATAAGATCCTTATTATCATATATCATATAGTACACTTGATATTTACCATTAACAATTTAAATGCTATTGCTAACTTGATAATTTTCAAGTATGCTAGAAAAATATATTTCATCATCTTTATCAATAAGCCCTAATTTACTATGGTTAATTCAAATGTAGGCAAATATTTAGACAGAAAGTATTATTTATATTTTGGAAAATCGAACTACCGACACCTCGATTAAAATCAATAAGGTTAGAGAATTATTAGTAGAGTTCCAATGTATGTTTAAAAGATTAAAACAACATATTTTTCTATTATATAATAAGTCTGTCGAGATTCGTTCAATTTAAAAGTCGTTTGAAAAATAGCTCGAAATCATTAGAAGTTAGGGATTGATAGATAGATAGTTCGTCCTAGTGAGAGGCTCATCAACAGTGCTTACCCATGACCTTGTTTGATAGTACTAGATGATGGAGCGGCGAATCAATGATTAAGGTGTTCGACTTTCAAATATAGGGTTTGAACCCAGCTCCACATAGTATAATCGAGTGACTAAAGTTGGTAAATATGTAGAAATCAATTACGACTCATTGGTCTAAATGGTAATGCGGACATACGGATAACTGAATCTCTTGAATTCGAGCTCTTATGAGTGGAAGGATCTATTATTGATAAGTTTCAAACTGGGATAAAACAGTTACTTAGCAACCTCCGGTTCTTATCCTACTGAAAATTTGTAGCAAAAACCAACTTAGGATTAACGAATACGATTAAATATACGTGCATATCAAGGCTTTGTTTGCCAAAAAGTTTACCAAAACAAACACTAGGATTCTGGTAAAAGGCTACTCGTATAATGATTTTATAAACTGTGGTTTTTCCACCATGAATGAATCTGTAGTGTTTCAAGAAATATTACAAATATAACAATTTGTTTAACAGTCTAATGTAATGTTGATAGGTATTTCATGATAACTAACTTTCGGATGATTTGATAGTAAGATGTCGATAATATTAAGATACTTACATATCAGTGATCCATGACTGTGACATATAGAAAACGAATGTTTACCCTGGAGTTTCACTACAATCAGTCAGTCAGTCAGCTACAACTACACTACAATACCTTTCATCAATACTATGAGAGGAATTTCTAATGGATAACTAAAACCAGAACTATGGTTTACAGGATTGAATAGACTATTGATAACAAATCGTCTTTAATATTATAATAATGATTCTTACGAGTGTGAACTGAAACCAAACAAATTAGAGTAGTGTTTTTTGGTCAACCACAACCTGAGAATTTAAAATGAAATATCGAATTCTTTTTTGCAAAACCACGTCAACTTAAAACATACGAAACATTAATATCAGGGTTTTCCAACTCCCCTAGGTACTCTTCATGTTTATCAACCCGGTTAAAGCGCCGGGCATTTGCTTTTCGTTTTCTCAATTTCGTAAACAACAACCCCGCGAGGAGTAGGCAATGAGTAGAACTTCTCTGGCAGCAGATACATAAGTGTCCGTGTGAGAGGATTTCGAGAGAGAGAGAGAGAGAGAGCTAACTCTCCACACCCAAACCAAGTGACTTGTGTGGCGCATATGTATTCAGTACCCCTTTGTACCAATATTTATGTGTCCAAATAAAAAAATAAACCCTTGGCCGTCCAGGGCATTTAGGGAAAGAAACCTGAAGTGTTCCTTCTCCTTCTAGTAGTATATAATTGCTAGAAAATAGAGGAATGAGTGAACTTTTGTTTACCATTTTAAAACACTTATCGGCTTGTGTGGCACCACAAGATGGTATTCTTGCGATAAAATCTATGGATTGATTATAGTGGATGGTAGAAGCATTGTATTTTCTAATGAAATTAACCGTTTGTACTGGCTGGGCCTTTTTGTTTTTTTTCATCTTAATGAAATATTATTGTGACAGCTCGAATCATTGCGCAATCACGTTAGGTTGGTTAAGACTAAATCAATGCAATGATGTAAACAAAAATCCATAGAAAGACCAGGACATATGAGAAATGGATCGGAACGGAGAAGACAAAAATGAACTTACCTCTTGTGGTACAGCTCCTTTGGGTTTGTCCAAATTTCTGTTACGGAAGGGAGCAGCAGCATCACGTGGATGCATATGAGCATGAACAGGACTATTCTGATTTTTTATTTGTTGAGAATGTAAAGACGGTTGTATACTGGATAGTTGGCTGTCTAGTCCCAAATAAGAGGACTGTACTTGAGGATTGGTTGTAGATATGACAGTTGAAGGAAGTGGTAAAGATGAAACACCAGATGTTGAGTGAAATTTACTGGACAAGGAAATTGCAGAAAGTGACGGATCCACAACAGAATTCGAACCTGCACGTCCTAAAGATGGATGTTGAGAGCAAGCGAGTAGGGATGACAATTGTTTATCCTGAGAAGCAGCTAGCATAGCCGTTGAATATAGACTGGGAGGAGTACGATTTACGTTTTCAGAGCTTTCGTCTGTAGAAGTGGAAAGCATCGAATTGTTGTAAGCATTAGTAACACCTGAAGCTTTGCTAACTTCAGATGACATACTTCGCAGTGGAATAGGTGACGAAGAATTTATTGAGTTGGAAACACATGACGGTTGACATGGCGCAAGTAATTCTTCTCGACTGTTGATCACAGAAGAATCTTCCTTTACATGAGAGGCGGAAAATGCAAGACTAGGTGCTGTAGACGTTGAATTTGTTCCTGAAACAGAGGAGAAAGGTGTTAATGAATTGCTATCGTCACTGGGGTCATTTTTTATCTGTGATTGTAACTGAGGATTTGTTGTAACTGTATTGGGACGGTCATTATGTTTTTGGGTGGTTTCGTTCTTCTGGTTTCGAGCAAGATCGTCAACAACGACCTGAGAATCTATAGTACTAGAGGGTTTGGCCGGGCCTATCTCGGCAACGATTGTCATACTGTTTGATGTTGAATGACTATTTGCGTTCAACTTTCCAGATTTATTAGGAGTGCCAGCAACAACTTGGGACATAAGAGCAGGAGCAGTTTGATTAATTGAAGCAGCGGGTTTTTGTTTGCCCGATGAACCTGGTGTATTTGAAGATTTCATAGGTGTACTAGTAGAAGAAGCGGATACATGTGGTAACAAGGAGACTTTATCATCACTTTTAGCACGTTCTCGGGAAGAAGACGCATTGGATGATGCCGATGACCCAGGATGAGTGACAGACGAATCTGTATTATTTGATGCACTTGTATGAGTCGAAGTTGAAGAGCCAGCATCATCACTCCCTACTCGTTGATTTACCAGTGTAGTACCGGGGGTAATTACACCATTTAAATCATGCTCTTGATTTCCTGTTGCAGTGCCTGGTGCTGCAGTTATTCCAGTAGAATCACCTAACTCATCCAAACATAAATCATCATAAATATTCTTAAAGTCAAACATAGACTGATTATCACTACAATCGATCACATATTCAATAGACTCTTGAATAGATCTAACCTTTGTACAATCTAACCGTTCATTATCTAATAAACGCATAATGGTTTCAAGTTTTTCAACATGAAAACAACACATTTCTAAACGTTGACGTTTTTCATCGATTGCTGAAGCTGTTTCTTTATCTATTCTTTTCTTTTTAGTATTATTTGATAAGCTTTCAATCTCAAACTCATATTTTTCTGTTTGTGTATTTAATGAACTAATACATTGTTTTAACCAATCATCTAATTCTTCTTTTTCTTTCTGTAACGGGTCTTTTTTCGCTTCAGTTGATAATAGACCTTCTTTGGAATAAGCTTTAGTTTTTGTCTCTTTTTCAATTACTTTAAATCGTTCCATATCCTGTTCGATTTCCTTACGTGCTTCTAATAATGGTCGCTTATCTTTCACTTCACTAGCTGTAATCCATGTTTTGATTTGATCTCTTAATCTTTGAAGTTTTTTAATCTCTTTTTTTAGATCGCCTTCAAATTTTTCTTTTTGAGTCGGATTGTTGGTACTTTCAAATTTATCCAGTATTTCCTAGATTTATTAGGAAAAGGAAATATATGAAAATATGCTACAACTGTCAGTGGGTAAAATTACCCACTTTTTGACAATTATATGACATTCGAGTAGCCAACGTTGTATATATACCGACAAGACTACAAGAAATTGGTGACAAACCAAAAGATAAGCAAAGAGCGAACAGTGTGGATTGTCCACAGAAGTTAGTTGAACTTATAAGAATACTCAAACTTGACCTTCATAATTGTGTTTGAGAGACACGGCATGCACATGGCCAGTAAAGTCTATTTTCCAGTTTGGCAAACGCCCCCAAAAGATAGTTTGGGTTTTAGATCCAAGAAATAAGGCTTCATTTATTAAGATTGAATTATTATGACTGGCTGTATGTTCAAAGAAGCATTAAACTAAAAAAGAATGATTAATAATAGGAGTACAAGATGCATTAGAAAGTCATGGGAGGGTCCAACTGAGAACAAGATTGACTTATGTGCTAATATTAGAGCATGAGCGAATGAAACTTTCTAGTCCACGATAACGTAGAAAGATATTTCCAGAATGATAGTAGTTTTACGGCTCTAGTTTGTCGTACTAACCATGTGAAATGCTAATGTTCACATCAACAAATGTGGAATAACTTGATACTTAATGAAAATATCCTATTGGGTCTTAGAAACATATGAATGACCAACCAGTCAAATTACATGCATTTCAATTGAAGTACGTGACTCCAGCTAGAAACAGATCAATTACTGTGGTGCTTTCATACAGTGTTCAAAGGCTTGGATATCAGAAATGACTTAATTTTCATCTGAACACGTGAATATTCAATAACTTGTAAGCTGTATACTGTATGCAGGGTTGAGTATACTACAAGGTGATCTTCCGAATAAACAGCGCTATATACAAATCATGTAAAATACAAATAGTTTGGGACAAGAAAGTTGCAACTGGCGTGTTAAGTGAAATATTTTTCAGATGTCAGTTGGCAGTCAGATATTTGAAAGCTCTTAGTGTATCTTATCCCTTGTAACAAAATGAAACCAAACTTCTACCACAATTATTAAATGAACAGTGAATGAGCCAAGAAAAACTTGCGGTCATACAGAAACACGTTCTAAAAAGCATAAAATTTCGACCTGATATTTATGCTGATTTTAACACAAAAGAACTCCGTTACTAATGAATACTGTTTGCATTGGGATATATAGAATAAGAGCTATTTGACAGTCAGGCTGTTTCAAGCTCAGTGAAAAATATACAGAATAGCGACTCAGTAGTTATGAGGCAAATATGTAATGGAATGTAAGTTCAAACTTTCTGAGTTATTCATGAGTTTTTGTGGATAGGTATTAATGTTGCGTATCATTCTTAAAACATAAACGTAAAAAACTAGAAACTTTTCAATACACAATCACCGTCACTGTAAACTATACCTTTCACTTAAATGAGGCCTTACTAATAGCTAGGTAATAAATGATCTAAACTAGCTAAAAACGTATTAAGGTTTAACTTTAGTGACTTTATTTATTTTAGCAAAACGAGGTCTATCAAAGTCGATGAATATATATAAACGGCAAACTGAAACTTCTGACTTTCTAACATTTGTATGAATAGATGTCAAAATAAGTTCTCATATGATAGCTATCACTACAATAAATGAAAGAACGCGTCATTGTGGTGTTTGGAATAATCACTCGAGTGATTTATAAGTTACTCTAGATCTACGTTTCGTACAAAGATAAATTTATACTTAAATGGCTCGTGAATATATATTCGTTGTTTCTATTGCAACATACACAGTACATATGTATACAAACACAGTTTTTAGACGGTAGACATATCATTTTCACCAACTATAAACTGTATATAGCTAATATCTTACTAAATAACTAGTCCCACTACATAAATTTACACTATACCTGGAAGGCAGTTCTCCCCTCCTGTACTCTCTTGAGGTTTCTTTCAATGTCACTTTGCAGTTTCCTTTTGTCGGCCATCCTTCCACAGCGTACAAAGCAACCGCTTCATCGAATAAAGGCAGATAAAGGTAATCGCTCACGGATCAATGTTATGTTATCAATCCTAAATTAAATATTTTACTTTTTGTGATTCTTTACTCACATTATTTTTGATACTTCTATCGATTTTGAGTTCAAAGATCTATGGAAGATATTACTTGGTCATCAAACGGTTCAAATGTTTGTGGACGGAATAGAAGAAGCTTTCGCTTAACTGGCTTCTGTGTCTAGTAGCAGTGGATCACCAATACGCTCAGATATCAACCTAGATATATTAACGATAATAGAGGAAAAAAATAAGTAAATCATAGTAGGATACTATCCTTATTTCTTAAGAATACGTCACGTTTCCTATTAAAGGACTCCTGGGAAGTCGCTTGTACTAGATCAGGCTGCGGCGATGTCCAGCTCTAACACTTCTTAAGGAGTAGAAGTTGTGCTTACAGTCCGCTCTGCTGTTTTGTATCTCCAGTTTCTGGGCGTTACCCCTAAGTTTTTGTGTTTGAGCTAAACTTAAGTAAGTTTAAGATGTCCAGAAGTGTTAAGGATGCTGTAAGCCATTAAAATGTCACTTCTGGGACTCCTGTGCCCTAACAAAAAGGTTTCGTGATTGGAGGCGCTCTTCATTAGGCTCGAATTTGAGTCGCCGGACTAATTTCGTGGCTCACCGTTGGATACGCTCCAGTGTCCTTATCTTTTTGGAGTGAGGGAGAAAATACTGCTTCCGTACTCTAACTAGCTGTTGAAGATTATGTCGCTCACAGTAATATATATTTTGCCATCTGCTATTGGAGGGATAAGACGAACGTTTGGTGATTTCCACAACGTATGTTCTAATAAGCTCCAGAATGTTTCCTTAATTTCCTCTCTAACTGAAAATGAGTTGTTTCCTGTCAAAACAGGTTAGTACTGATTGTGCTCATCCTACGAACATTGAATATCTGGCTTAGACAATTGTTTATAAATACCTGTACCATTTTGATGATCGTTGTAATAGTCCTCCAAGCTCCAGCTCCGTACAGTAGGACTGCGTTTACCTTCATACTGAAGATTTTGACTTCGATGTTAGTTGACATTTGTTTTGATTTTCAAATGTTCTTCGAGTGTAGGAATGCTGCTCTCGTTTTTCAACCCTTTCCTTGACACCTGCAATGGATCGTTCTTATCTGTCAATGACGTCACCCAGGTACGTGAAAGTTTTTACCTGTTCTAGAGCTTCTCCATCAAGTGTGATTTCGTGAGTTTTTTCTGAGTTGTACTTCGGAATATTAGTCTTTAGTTTGTGAATGTTGAGCCTAACAGCTGCAGAGGCTGTTGCTGCACTTGCTGTCTTCACCTTAATTTGTTGCAGTGTATGAAATATAAAAAAATAGATAATCTGCAAACTTCAAACCACCTAGCGGCATCCAGGCTGTTCTATGTATTCTTTGCTCCCGCATTTATTTTCCTTTCTCTCAGACCATGCGGCACTATGATATCTTCGTACTCAATGTTTTCCATTCCAGCTTTGGCGTTTACTTCCTTACTTAACATGGTCAGATCTTTGACTGGTCACTTCTCTATTATCAACTGCTCAAAAGATTGATCTTTATTGCGTTCATAGCTGTCGTTGGTGGTTGCTTAGCACTGAATATCATTCGTTCTGACCGGCTCCTTCTTTGTTTATAAGGATGACTCTGAATTCACGAGATCCCTATCTTATAAATGCTCTTCGTGCTTCTTTGTAAAGCATCAGAGCAGCTCCCTGTATGTATTAAATCATTTTCTGCCCCATGATCAGAGTGAAATAGCACCTCTCCTGTGGCTAATCATTTCATTTTCAGCTTGCATTCAACGGTTTCACTTATTCTGAACAACACCAAGTTGTGTTTTCTAACATTCGCAGTTACTTGAGTGGTTCTCCCGTTCCCACACGCTAGGCTGACATTCCATGAAGCTATATTATTGTCGCATTTTGTTAGAGAGGGCATAGGCCTCATGACTCCGGGAAGAATCGCAGCTATCACCATACTGTGTCATTGCTCCTCTGCAGTTATAGACTTCAAATTCAAATACAGATCTTAGCAATTTCATCTGGTCAGGACTTTTTAAGCAAGGTTTTCTTTCATGGGATGGGGTTGTTATACTCATACCCAAATCTCCTATTTTTCCTACGTTTTTTGACCGGCAATCGCTCTAGGAAACATGTAGGAGGAAATACTTGTCTATCCATAAGTTGCAGTATCTTCATTTAACAAGAATAATGAACCCGTTTTAGTCGCACGTTGTCATTTTTACATATTGTATGTTTGCAAGTGTAAGAACAGTGTAAACCTTCTCCCGTATACAAGAAATTATCGTACATTACGTCACCCAGCAGTAGGAATAATGCAAATCAATCCTGTTTAGTGACCAATCCATATGTTACAGACTGATGATAGACCGATATTAACCTGAAGATGGTTTAGTCTTATGTATATATATCTCCATTTCTCGATGAATTTATTGCGAAAGAAACTAAACTGTCGAAGGGTTTTACTTGTTCGTTAGTAGAACTATTTTGCAAAATACACCATGAGCAAGAACATCCATGTTTCGTCCGATGTGGGTAGATCACTAACATATCCTGATAGACAAACCACACAGTTCAAGTCTTTATTAGTGAATGATAATAGGTTCGGAACTTGGTTTACGCTACCTCTGAAACTAGTTAATGTGAATTCAATAAGACTATAGTTTGTGTACGAAACAAACTGATTTAAGAATATGGGTCATGGAACTTAACACAAAGTTCATTTTTCCGTCTGGCTAAGCGGCAGTTTTGCACTATAGTTAGCGTCAGTTCGTAATGAAAACCCTAAGTTTAACTATGAAACCTTACCTCCAACTATAGATCTCTATCCCCTATATTGTTTACGGACATCATTTAGCGCCAGTAAGTTGGTGGATATGTAGTGGCATTAGACCATAACCACACAATACTCAAAGCTGGACACGAGACAACTCGGGAAACAGATATTCACTATTTAACGCTGAGAAATACCTAACGATGGAAAAGGCGGGAGGAATGTATTGAATGAATTGGAGTTGATCGAATGGCATGGCTTGGTCATGCGGGCGTGGTCCCTGCTGAATATTACCTTATATCTTTTATTCATATTAAATATATTGTTTTTTCTCTAGCCTAAGCTTGTTCTTCATCATGTATTGGTAGTTGTTACGATACAGTGAGTTGGCGTAGACGATGATGTGACTTCCACGTAAAATCTTATAGATTAGGCAGTTATATCATGACAAATCTACAATTTTAGGATTAGATCTACTATTAGAGCAGTACTAATATCATAGTAAACCATAGTTCTACAGATATTCTCAAGTTCATTTTAGAGTCCCCAGAAAGTTGTCAGTCAATTACAATCTTGCCGTAATCACCTGTAGTATACACTCGAACATCCGTCACGCTAACCACTGCCAGTCGCACTCTCTTCGAAAACACAAAAGTCACACATGAAATTGGAAATAAAAAATATTTAGTTCCTAAATATGAATAAGGAAATTGACATAACCACAGTTAGAGAGGCGACAAGGAAGCATTCTCGCATATTTGTGGGCGGCTCCGAAAAAAATCATTATCTGGCTCTTGATTCTCAGTTCATAGACATTCCTAGCTTGGGACAATATGTTTTATGGTGGCTGTTTGCTGTATGACGCATCTTTCTTCGTAACAATTCTGAGTATACAGTATTCCTCGCCAGTAAAGTTATTGTCAAAATAGTGTGTTGCCCCCACAAATTGTCATTGTTTTGTTCATATAGGTCAGCATTTGGTTGGGATACACTCGATCATTTGTGCTTCTTCGGAAATGTCTAGTCTTGCATATATCGACGAAACGTGACATCTGACCCCACTGTTATTGTCCAACAATTCTGTAATTCAGTAAGCACTTTTGCTGTGTGCGAAATGGTGTAGAATTACGGTCTCCTTCGTTATTAGTATAATTATAATTATAGACCCAATCCTAAAACTGTAAATATGTCACGATGTGACTATCTAACCTGTAAAATCTTACGTGGAAGTCACATCATTGTATGCACTGACTCGTTGTTTCGCAACATTTATCAACATGATTTCTGAAGTTTGTAAAGAACACATTTAGGCTTAAGATAGAGTACTATAGTTAATGTAAGTAAGGACAAGTTATGCAGAATTATCACGACTTCAAGGCTGTCATTCCTTCCGCTTGAATTGAATTAATAATTCCCGTCTTCTCCATTATTGACCTTCACTTCGTTTCACTTGTTGAATAGAAATCTTTTCAGTAATTATATGCTCGGCTTCAAAGTTCGTGTGACTAGGTTCCCATGCCACAACTAATGTTTGTATTCTACCGTCCACTATCTTAGCTAACACATCACACTAGAACAAACGAATATTATCATAGCCTCTTCAGGGTTAGTTGAGTTTGATGATTAAAAAGATAATGACCCGTACATTCCATACTATCTACTATTAAACATAGATAACGTGAAAGGTGATGCGAGTTTGGATGTTTATTCGTTACTACAGCAGCAATTGTCGGTCAGTTTTCTGTGACAATTCTAAACAGTTTTCAATTATGGATTGAACTCTTGAGGACTGACAGAAATTAAAAGAGCAGTCTTTAACTTGCGAAATGAGTGGTGATCGAGACTAGTGTGGTTAGTGGATTCATATTCTCGATATCAACTTCGAAAAGAAAGAAATTGCCCTGTTAAGTCTAGATATCCCATCATAACTAACTGTATCCAGAAGTGGAGGGGTCAATCTAATTAATTTCATAGTGTCGGAGAAAATGTATCCGAAAATAATCATCTCCACTTATCTGGAGCTCTCGAAATTCAACAAGGAATGTAAGGTGACTGTGTGGCTTACCATTATCTTCTATATTTCGTTGGTACAGATGTGTGTAACTTTGTTCTGGGAGATCAATAAGTAAGAACAGCTTGCGTCATATTTTAAAGACACATCACGGGTTCAGTAGTGTCAGTAAACTCTTCAGGAAATAATTTTACAAAATTGGTCAACTCAAACCCATCAATCACGGTTGACAGACCACGCAACCAGAGCAATATAAGTTATTGATGTTCAGAGTTAAGGGAAAAGGTCCATAATAATGAAATTATTACCTTTCACATAACCGACAGCTTTCTTTTACATTTATTTATTTTTGAACAAAATAGGACGTAAAAAGTTATGAAATTAAATAAGTGCAGAAATTACTGGGTTCTGAGGGCTATTCCATAACTCCGAAGCCAAACAATCTGAAAGCAAGTGGAAATAAAACGTTGAGATCAGTGGATTTTGTATGCTAAAATTATAAGGAAAATGATGCTGAATAGTTTTGTTGATCATTAATGTAGATGATCTGTGTCGAATGGTTTGGGAACTACTCAAGTTAGATAGGGCTGGTATGACCAATAGTTAACACCAAAGACACATCACGCAGTCAGCACCTGACGTGGATTACCTTCCTGTTGTATCAAGTTACTGTGGCTGCACTGAATCTGTATAATACAAAGGACATTATTACAGAAAAGTATTGGTAAAAGTAGGAACAAGGGATAAATTGTGACTGCCGCCGCATGGGCCGGCCTATGGCGTACAATCAGTTGGTGCGCGTTGGTTTTCCTTGAACTTGACGATGATCGGCGAACTGTTAGACATTCAGTGTTCCGACTGACGGGTTTGGCTAGAGCATGGTGACAGTGCACTGGCCCTACAGTCTGCTCGCGTTACTTGATCAGATATTCGTATTTGTATTACTGTTCATGACACCAATACTTATGCTTCTCAAATTAACGACAGGCTGCTTGATATAATTTGCAGTGAGAAGATATGTGCCACCAAGACGAGGGATAATATGGTACTAGGAAAATATGTGTTAGTCAGATATTAGATCCAAGTACAGAGTAGATATGGTTGGTATTAAATAGACAGGTAAATTTTAAGTAGCTCGAAATAGAGGCTGATGTAACGACAAAACTAGGTACATAAGATATAATAAAAGTCTCCAATCAAGATAAGAACTTTATAATTAGAATCTGATATTATCGACCTCCTCATTCCATGCAGGCATTTTGTCTTATTGATCGATTAATTTATTTGTTTAAGTAGTTTAGCGTCATTCCCTACTTGATCCTCATTCTGTATAAGAAACGGTACGACCAGTCTACCAAAGCCTTCCTCTGGTCTTGCTTACTAAAGATAGACATTTAGGGTCCTCAATTCTTGTTGATGTGATTGACGAGTATTAGTTTATTTGATATTAAAAGTTGAGTTCAGTTTGTAAGGGATATAGTGAACTTCGTGTGTACTTGTTCAAGAATTCGGAACAACCATTAGCTGCTAATGGTTGACTTTGTTTAGAGTAGTGAGAATTCGGCGAAGCGGATATGACAATGAGAACAGGCAGTTACAGTAGTATAACCCCGAGTCTTAGTCAAACGACTCTTCAAACCAAATATACCCTACTTTAGTTACTACAGGATGACAAACTCAAACTAAGAGGGAACCACTTAAGGGTGAAACACAAAAGAACATGAACAGAAAACACGCTCATACGTATTCATGACCGGAGTCTGTAGGTTGAAGAGTAAATCATTGGAATAAATGGTAAAATCAGTAACAGATTCATTTTAAGGGAGTTTCGGCATTTACTCTAGTTGTTAATGTACTGAAGGAATATATTTTAAGTATCTCATCAACCAATAATTGTTACTGACTGAAGTTTCGCTATATCATAACTCAAAGAATTTAAAACAGGAATTGTGGCTTAACTTAACAAAAAGTCCCACCTTGCAATCTAGAAACATAGCATAATCAATTGAATGTCCTTTATTTCTATCAAGCAAATTCACAGACAAGCTTTGCTGTCTTGATTTTTCCGTGTATGCTTGGAAAATTACAGGCAATAGTCGACAAACATCTTTCTAGAAACGCAGGCTGAAAGTAGATGCCCCACATAATAAACCAAAAGACATTTTCAATTATTTAAATATTGACCTAAGGGATACTCATACCGCCTTAGATTGCTGAAGCGGGTCATTTAGTCTGTATTCATGCATGTTACTTTTGCTTGAGTTGGTTTTTATCCTCATAAGTATTTCGAATGGTTTGACTAAGTTCATTAGTTTTAACTTCATTGAATATGTTTCAGGAGAAAATGATTATTTACATCTTCGGGTGATAAATCCATCTACTCTGCCGTTTACATATCGCTTAAGTCCTGGTCAAATAGGACCCCATTTTGTACGTAAATATCTTTCTTATTGACTTCTACTTATTTAAGAATACAACATTTACGTCCACCTCATTAGTGCTAACAGAACCTCCTCACGCATGTGAGCTGGTAAGTAATGCACATGAAGTTAATCGAAATATTGCTCTCATAATTCGTGGGTAGGTAATTATCAGTATCATTTCAGTGTAAATAGAGGTTGTAGTTTCGTCACGAAAGCTATTAATGCTCACGTTGCCGGTGCAGTTGCTGTGATTGTTTATGATTTTAACCGCAAGGCTATCCACACATTTAGCATGATTCAGGACGATACTTCCAGACGTGTGCAGATACCATGTGCGTTTATGAATGGAAAAGATGGGTATGTTATTTGTATACTTTTTAAATTTTAAACTGCTTTGGTGGACACTAGTAATTTCTTTAGCTTCTGTTAGCCGCTTATCTTGTTCGACAGATGGTTGTAAGGAAAAGACCTCCCATGTGGTACGAAAATCAGTTTACTTAAAAGTCACTTAGGCGAATATAAACGGGAGAATTCAAGTAAATGTAGTTGAAACATCAAACCATTTAAAAACTTCGGTTGTGTAGTAATACAGTATGATCTCGTGTTACATGCGCCAACCCTAAAGACTAGTGAAGTTTGTGTAAACACTCATGCAAACAACTAACGAATGTTATAGCTGATGTCATTTTCCTTCCGTGAAATTTATGCCGAGCAATAGCACCTGTTATTGTGCATCTGAAATTTAAGGATAGCGACTAGGAACTATTTGAATAAACTATAGCTGGTGAGTGAAAATGGAACAATCGTCATCGGACAGTAAGACAATATCATTCGCGTACTCGATATCAGTAACTTTCTCCAGTGGAAGGGTCCAGACCACCACTTCTTACTTACATCAGAGCTGTCTCCAGAATGTTATAGATGAGAATTTTGGGAACGAATGGTGCAGTTAAGTAACGCAAAATCCGCTGCTGATCTGGATCAGTGGAGGCGAATGCATGAGGTCACCACGTGAGATAATTTGCACAATGAATTCAAGATATTTGCCTCAATAATCATCCGGTGCTTAACGAGAACTCATAAAGATCAAACTAGAGGAATCCATCCTTGTTTCAGATCTAGCTATGGATGTGTAGACTAAACATTCGCACCGCCCCAGGTTTTATATCGCAGGCATACCGACTCCCAACCATAGTTTAATTTCTCGACCCCCAGGCGACATTTGGTCCTGTAAATCGACAAGTTTTAAGGCAGTTTCTGTCATTATAGGATGTACCAAAAAAGTACATTAACATAGTACATGCTCCACTCGAACACTTCTGGTCGAGTCCGAGCTTATGTCGAACGGTCATCAGAAATTATAACTTCAAATAGTGTTTGTCTGGGTTGTACATTTCCCCCGTTTTCGTTAAACCTTGTTATCGACATGCTTTTTGAAATGACACCATCGCCTGACATTTTAGGGGCTGATCTACCAGGATATTTACTTATTGACTCAGATGATATAGTTATGTTTGGTGGAGACACTGACACAATCCAGTCTTCTGACCACATCAAAAAACGAAGCAAGGATGTTTTGGATGCTCTTCTCTCCTTCCAACTGCAAAATCTTGTCTCGGAATTGATTTTCCCTGGCATCTGAATCAGTGATAGGGAGTCAAGTAGTTGAATGTGCCGATCCTTTCGATTATCTTGAGGGCCTCATCAGTCCCAATGTGGCGGTATCTGACAAAATTTCGGCGCGGATTCGGAAGGTTTGATTGGCTTTTGCCGAAATGTGTGACTTGTGACGCAGGTGGGATATCCGTCTGACAACCAAACGACGAATTTACTGCGCAGTAGTCCTGTCTAACTTTATGGATGTGAAACATGTTTGAAAGTGCAGCATATCCATCGGTTACGAGTACTTGATCATATATATTAAATAAAGCCATTAATAATAATATGTATCTTCGAATCATCGGTTGTTTATTTTGGGACCATCTAATTGCAAATTCTGAAGTGAAACTTAGAATATTCTGTAAAGAATGCAGATAAATCGATGAGTCGGTGAATATTTGCCGTTTGAAGTCGCTGGGACATGTATTGCGTGCGCTCAACGGTGGTTGGAGACCTTGGGTGACATGGCTTCAAATCATTCTAAGTGGCGCAAACGCAATCACTCTCTTTTTTCAGAACCTAGGTTTCCTGACTCCTCATAGATTTTCTAGGTTATTCTTTCTCTAATCTATAACGTCTTCGACCACATCTTTGATGCTCAAGCTTTTCTATTAATATTAATTCCATTAATACCTTTAGTAATCTGGGATTTGCCCTGATAATCTCATTTCTCCATAGTAATGTAGTATGAGAATTTAAATAAGTGTACACACGTGCAAGATTCTGGATTGCGTTTAACTAAGAAATTTGTATTCACCTAATGAATACTACAGTATAGTTTCTTCCTTTTCCATAATTAAGTTAACTGGAGGTTTTCATCATCAGAGTATATTAATGACAGTTCTGCTTCTCATAGATGGTATGAAAGTGTTATCCTATAAACGCTCAGAGGGACAGTTTCACTTTCAAATAGGTAATGTCTTTTCAGGACTATTCTGTTATAGGATTCATTTTAATCATTAAAATGATGTATCGGTGCATTTTGGCTGTTTAATCTTGGAAATGTCGTCATATGTGGCGAACCAGTAACTGACGATATCTTAACACGAGTACCAAAGCTTCTTTGGCCTCTGCCTGTTTGCCAATCAAGGAGCGAATATATTCCCCAACAGTTTGCTCTCGCTATTTAATTGTAAAGAATGATTTTTAAAGGTTATCGGTATTTTACTTATCGTGTGTGATGGAAATAAAGATTAATGCTGAAAATAGACGTCGGACAAAAGTTATAGGTGGTTGATGAGTCTATGAATGTTTACTAACGTAGGTAGTCAATATATGTGTTTTGCAGGTCAACCCACTGCTTACCCGTGTGAACCATCCTGGTTAAAAATGGAGTTTGTTGAAAAAAGTCAAAAACAATCAAATCAAAGTTGAGTATCAATCTATGGAGTCATTATTTTTTGGTCGAAATCTATTGGCATTCGGAGAATTTCTGATTAGGTTTCAGAAGAATAGGTTAACTTGAATACTAAATGACCTAATGCTATTGGTTCTGTTAATTTCAGTCACAATTTAACAACTTTTAAGTGGCCGAATTTAATCGGTTTCACACTGTAAATATATGTTAACGTGTCACAGATTATCATTCATTCAATGGGTTCAACTATTCTGGTGATAATTAATACTTACTTGGCCACGCATATATGGCCTCTGCCAGGGAAGTCCTACCCACTGCCTTCTCCTACCAAGGGTGTTTACGAAAATGAGAGGACAAAAAGCGAATGTCCGGCGCTTTAACCGGATTCCAAACCAGTGGTGCACATGGGCTCCAGTATCCTACGGGGACAAATGGCGTATGAACCAATCGTTGGTCACCAGCTTCCATGGGACTGCATCTCCTCACGATGCTCCACTACCTTGTGGATCGGACCTTTAGGTCGAAGACTCGGGGTGTGGCCCCCTAAGAAAACCACCTGCTTCGGTTTGGGCACCCGGGCAGTATCACAGCCCTCACACATATCGAATGATTTATGTGGAGCATATGTATTTGGTGCCTCCTTGTACCAATATCTATGTGTTAAAATAAAAAAGCCATAAACTTACTTATCCTGTTATCTATAAATAACGTAGTAATAAGCTCAATAGGAAACAAATTTTAGTCGAATATATATAAGTATTAACTGGTTTTGGTGATTTTGAAAATAGTTAACTAGAGGTTCACATTTGATTTTTCTCTTTAATTTTAAAGGCATTCAATAACCACTGCTTTGGATAATTTAAATCTAACAAAAGCATTAGTTGATTTTCCTGTTAATGTTTCTGTGGTTCCAGTATATCACTTACGTTTAACTCCATGGACATTATGGTGAAGAATAAAATATACATTCAACCTTATTTTCTTCTACAAATCAATGACTACATGACTGTATTTTCTGCACTATGAGTACATGTGTAAAATACTACTTCTTGTATATGACAATATGTTTTCATATGACCTACAATTCTTTCATTTAAAAATAAGATTTCCTTTGGTCACATAATTCACTTACATTATATTCTACGTTTGTTCTTTCTTCAATGGTGTAGTCTCCATTTTCTCATGTAAATAGTTGTTCTTTTTGTTAAACCTGCCTACTATCTTCTCCCAACTGAGTAATTATAGTTTTATTAATACGTGAATGGTTTTTAATATAGTTGGATTGTTGTGGAATCTAGGTCATGCGTCTTATCCTACCTAAGACTCATCCCATCTCAGTATTAATGTTCACATTGTAACCACTAGGTTATGTTGATGCCAACCGCTCACGATTTACGTATTTCAATAACTACTCAGTTTTAGTTCTGAATATTAACAACAGGGAACTACAAACCCTTAACAATATAGTATACATGTAACAGTGTATGTTAACTCAAGTTCGGGAACGTGTGGTCGGCTAGTGAAAACAGTCTAATCGGTGTCACCATCTTGAAACAACGGGTTCGGTGACGTGGCTAAATGCTATGAGTGTCATTCCAGTGACTTTTAAATCGTGCTTTATTTACCGAAGCTGGAACTGGTTGACAAAAGATAGGTGGTAAGTTCAAGACCTTGTCCCGGGGTATGACATCTATCTGTTTACCGTGATTCCCTGGTTGTGGTCCAAAAGATAGTGCAGCTTGGTGGCTTGAGACATTATCGGTCGTAGGTCTGAGTCGAAGCCAATTGCGATCTTGTTACGATTTTTGCGTACTTTCTATAAAAATGTGAGAACTTTTACTGAAAGGGTTCTTTCTGTCTATATTTTTCTTAAACTTTGAATTAACTGATCAACAATTTACTTTTATCTAATCTACTAAGGTAGCGCTATTTTTCTTAGTGAAGGTTACTCATCACTATCCATTTGATTTTCTTGCAAAAATTTGAAACGCGTTATAATTGTAACATGATGAATACGAAATTGGTTGCAGTGGTGTGGATAATGTCATTCTCCAATTTATCCACTGCCTTCTTGCGGCATTACTGTTGTTTACGAAATTGAGAGGGCAAAAAGCAAATGTCCGGCGCTGTAACTTGGTTGGTGGATATGGAGGATCCACCTGGAGGAGTTGAAAAACCCTGATTCCAAACCAATAGTGCATATAGGCTCCAGGATCCTGAGAGAACAGATAATGCATGGACCAATTATTAGTCACCGGCTACTATGGGACTGCATCTTCTGAGGTTTCTCCACCACCTTGTAGATCAGACTTTTGGGTCGAAGGCCCTCTAAGAAAACCACCTGCATTGGTTTGGGCACTCGGGCAATATCAGAGCTCACATACAAACCAAGTGACTTGTGGCGCATATGTATTCGGTGCCGCTTTGTACCAATATTTAAGTGTTCAAATAAATAAATATTCGTCTTCTTCGTTTACGCCTCTGCGGATACGATAGTAATAGGACATAAATCCACTTAATACGACCAATCTCTTTGCAGTTGTGACAAATGACGTTAAGGAATGGTTATTGTATACGTAGACAGACGTGCCTCACCATATTAGCTCCAGTTAGTCAGTTATAGTAACTGGACTATTCCCAAATTGTTGCTGTCTAATTACCACTGGGTATTTAGAGTTATGCTATTTACTTTTTTTGCATGAAGTGCTACTAGGTTAGACGCAGGGTATTAGGGAAGGATGAAAAATCAGTTGATGAGGTTGTAAATCTTCATCGACTGAGATGGTTGGGCCACGTTTTACGAATGCCTGAACACCGATTACCACGACGCACAATGCTGACTAGTGTTGGGGATAGTTGGAGAAAAGTTAGGGGCGGCCATACCAAAATGCGGTATCAGTGCTTGAAGTCGCTTGCTTCTAGTCTGAGCCATGTTGATAGATGTAGAGTACTTGGTTGGGTCCGTGCGAGTATCGTAATCAATGGTTGGAGACTGGGTGACATGGCTCAGAATCGATCAGAATGGCGTAAGTGTGTACACTGTCTATCTTCCTTTAAAAGATGAGTTTCATATTCGTTCAGTCAGTAACAACGTAGAACTTCGTACGTACGTACATCAGTTCGAGTTGCCATACCACATTAGCACAGAGATGCAGTTGCCGATTCAAATCCAGTAGTGGTAGAGGTAGTAAGAGTATAAGCAGTAATCGGAAAGATTAGGGTTTGGAGATGCTATTTAAAGAGTATAATCCAGTGAAATAAATTTGGGAAGAGAAAAAAGAGACAAGGAGGAATCAGGAGATCAAAATTTGGGAGAGCACAAAGAGTGTATGCACCTGCGCCATTGCAAGCGATTTTGAGCCATGTCATTCAGGGTCTCTAACCATCGGTTTCTATCATCTCGTGGTCCCCAACCAGGTAGTCTACACCTACCAACATGGCTCAGTCCACTTGTCAGCAAATTCATGTATTTGTGCCATGTTTTGGTCTGACCGTCCATAGCTTTCTTCCAACCTACTCCTATACCACTGAACATTGCACGTCGAGTCAGTCGGTCGTCGGGCATACGTTCTGTACTATATCCTTACATAATATCTTTCCTTTATATATTACACCATTGAGTTAACTGCTTCTATGAATCCAGTGTTCGTCTTGCTGTGCTAATGAGGTGTAGCAACTTGAACTGATGCATGTATGTGCTTGGTCCTACGTTATAACTGGCTGACTGATTTTTCTCACTAAGGCTAAAATACGGCTATCAAACTATCTGCAAGCATATCTGGTGCTTAAAATTGTATTCTGCTTTTAATATCAATTTGGCTTGAAGTTCTTGATGAATATCTCATGTAACTGAATTTGTAATTTATTACCGTCGTCTTATTTAATGTCTCAATAATCTTCTATTTTTATCATAGACCACTATAAGTAGGAAATAACCATAAATCCAATTGTACAGTTGTAGTACATGATACCGTAGAAAAGGGAATTTTCTTCACTGAAATCTCTTTATATTGTGAAAGAAACAATTCAATCAACTTTGTTGTGTTCCTTTTGTTTTTACAATTCTAAGTAACTGGAAAAATTCCAGGAAGTGATTTCTCCCAGTTATTTGTAAGTATAACAACAATCTGTTATAACTTGCCAATGATTTCCGAAATCCCCGTCGCCAATTGTTATAACTTGTTGTTTGAATGCTACTTGTTATTATCTTTATTTATTTAAACACATAAACGTTGGTACAAGGAGGCACCAAATACATATGCGTCACATAAATCATTCGATTTGTGTGAGGGCTGAGATACAGCACGGGTGTCCAGACCGAAGCAGGTGGTTTTCTTAGGGGGCCACACCCCGAGCATTGGATCTAAAGGTCTGATCCACAAGGCAATGGAGCATCGTAAGGAGATGCAGTCTCATGGAAGCTGGTGACCAACGATTGGTTCATACGCCATTTGTTCCCATAGGATACTGGAGCCCATGTGACCATTGGTTTGGAATCCGGTTAAAGCGCCGGACATTCGCTTCTTGTCCTCTCAATTTCGTGAACAACATCCCCGCCACGAGAAGGCAATGAGTAGGACTTCCCTGGCAGAGGCTGTATTCACGTGGTCGTGTGAGAGCATTTCGAGAGGGAGGGAGGGCCCACCCCACTCTCGGCCATATCAGGGCATTTGGTGGCATTTGTTATATCTAGTCGTTGCTGATTGTTGTATCGGAAACTCTTATCACTTAGACTCAAAACGAGGGACCTCTGCAATTCCCATAATGCGAAGGTAAGAACATAAAGACTGGTATAAGTGAATATTTATTAACCCCTAAAACGCAACAACGACGACGTTGACCCTAGTCGGAAACACACTCATTTATATATTGATTCTTACACCCATTTTGATTAATAATCAGAATGTAATCACATATATGAAAAATACTCACAGTTATAACAAACCACATATAGAGCATAGTTCATCTCTATTGAATACAAGAATATCGTATATTATACAGAATAATATATCATACGAGAAAACAAAACAAATACTACATTGAGTAATCATTACATTGAATCAGAATGGAAGTAATCTTGAACGAAACTCCATCTTATCACAATCTATACTAATAACAACTTACTTGGTAATCATCAACAATATAATAAAACCGTTGTATACCGACTCAGTGGTTGCTCCCTAATGCCCTGGTACGGCCGAGAGTGGGGAGAGTCCGCTCTCCCTCCCGAAATGCTCTCACATGGCCACGCGTATATAGCCTCTGCCAGGGAAGTCCTACTCACTGCCTTCTCGTGGCGGAGGTGTTGTTTACGAAAATGAGAGGACGAAAAGCGAATGTCCGGCGCTTTAACCGGATTCAAAACCAAAGGTGCACATGGGCTCCAGTATCCTGAGGGAACAAATGGCGTATGAACCAATCGTTGGTCACCGGCTTCCATGGAACTGCATCTCCTTACGATGCTCCACTGTCTTGTGGATCAGACCTTTAAGTCGAAGGCTCGGGGTGTGGCCTTCTAAGAAAGCCACCTGCTTCGGTTTGTGCACCCGGGCAGTATCACAGCCCTCACACATATCGAATGAGATTTGTGTGGCGCACATGTATTTGGTGCCTCTTTGTACCATTATCTTTGACTCAGTGGTTTGATGGTTAAGTGTTTTCTCAAGACCGAAGTTCCTGGGCTCAAGTTTTGCATGTGGGTTCGTGTATGTTCACTGCCGAATAGTCCGATGATGGGACAAAATGACCATTCAGTGCTTCCAACTTTTTAATAATGGTCCAATATTGATTGGATCATGATCTCAATGAAACCCTATACTTATAAATATTAAAAAAGCTTGAACTATATGTTACGTTGACGTGGATATTAAAAACTGATATAGACCGGAATATAATGTTCAAATACTCTAAACCAGTTTTTCACACTATACTAAACACTTTTCTTAATGATAAGAAATGATTGCGAATTACATTATGGATTACTTCAATGCGATATGGTAAATCAGCCCTTATCTTCTTACGCTCCTTGGCTCAAATGAGATATCCTGCTGGGTGGAGAGCAACATGCATATTTGTTGTCGACTCATGAATCATCAACTTACATCTGTTTTACAATTGTTATACGATATGTTCTATGTAGGTATAAACAGTTGTCTACGCAAAATACCTAATGTCCGTTGGCCAGATACCATCAGCAATAATCTACTGTAGGAAAGGACAAACCAGCTTCCATCTGAAAAGGAAATTAGGAAAAACC